AAAAAAATAAGTAGATTTTCTTATTCATTTACTTTTTTGTGATCTTCATAGTTAACGGCTTGTTTCATTGATGGCTTTTATAATTAAATTGCTTAGTTATTCAAATAATACCATTTTGACCAACCCAGCAGTTATAGTTCAACTTGTAAGTCTAGAGAAGGAATGTATACAAAAATGTAATCAATGTTGACATATTTAGTAGTTTTTTTTTAACTGATACAAACTCCCAGGAGATTAACTCATTACACATTCTTGAACTAACCTTTTTAGATGGCATAGAGTGGAAAGATTATATTGAATCTTTTACTAAGTCTGCAACTAAGACAGTTCACTATGCCGTGTGATACAAAATTTCTCGCTAGAATCTATCTTACATATAAGTTTATGATTCGTCCTTGCTTTGAATGTCGCTGCACGTCGGGTTTGATGCTTCTGCTATATATTTAGAGATTGTTGATAAAATCTAAAGAATCTGCAATGTTGTTGGCCCTGAGCAGGTATCTAGGCTTCAATACGTTCCACTGTTGTAACATAACTTCCCTGTGCCTTTTCTATAATTATTTTCATGGTAATTGTTCTGATGAACATTTCTCTATGGTACCTTGAATTTATGAATCTAAGCGCAAAACAAGACTGTCGAAAATGTCTCATCATTGCACAGTTGAAATGGCGATATGTAACTGTAACAGGCTCTTCTCTCACACCTCTCACTTGTGGAACACTATTCCCCCTTCTTGCTTCTCCATCAACTTTAATCTTCAAAATTTTAAATGCAGTGTCAATCATTATCTTCTGTCTTAATTCTTGTTCTTTTATTGTCTTCTCTCCTTAATAATAGTTTTTCTCATATTTTAAAATACTCAGTAACATCGTGCGTCCTAGTTGCTTTAATGCCTTGCTTGGGGTGAACTGATTGATAAAATATAGATAATTTTAAACGGGTAAGTGTTATTACATGTACTGCTAGTCGAATGCTCCGTGTACCGGATATCAAGAGGTTCTCAGGGTCACCAGGATAAAATACACTCTGTTTCTGTGTCTGATACACGATGGATTTTATTGCTCACCGCCCCTTACTGAGGCGAATCCCTACCACCTGATTCGATTTGTTCAAGACCCGTCAAACATTTCTCATTCTTTTAGAGATCAGAACACACCTTATACGAAATAAAAGACTGTCAAAATCTCCAACGTATTGTAAGAATTTCACTAACAACAGTTAACATCGAGGCACTGCGGAACAAAGAAAATGACTGCGCTCTTTCAACCAGTATCATAGCTAGTATATATATATATATATATATATATATATATATATATATATATATATATATATATATATATATAGACTAGCGTGTGTATAATTGAGTGTCTAACAGTTGTTGGCAGAGAATAAACGTGTGATGTGTGAAGAACTGAAGAATTGAAAGACTAAACGTAGAAAACAGAACCGGAATTATTCAGTTAATGTCGACGAACTTTCCTGCTTCCACTCCTTTTGGTGTGTAAGCACCTCGAGGCTAAAAGCAGCCAAGCTTTGAACACATCTAGACGGTCACGAATAGCGCCAGTGTCTATGTTCGTCGGCAAGTGGCACATGTCTGGCGAATTTGCAGGTGTTATAAATCTCTTGCTTAAAGGCCTGCCAACAATATAGAATGGCTTCATTATTCTACTCTTTTTGTAAATCAGACGTGTTGGATAAATAAAATTAAAAATGTTCGTGGTGAAATTAAAATGTGACAGACTTAGAAACAAATGTTCATTGCGTACAGCCAATGTGGGAATCTATTTCTTATTATAGACTTGAAAATAAATAAAAGCAGAATTTTTACAGTGATATTCATCCTGTACAAAGCCATAGAGCCACTCAAGGTAGATGTTTATAGAGTAAGAAATTCAATTTATAGTCATATGTGAAGAAGATAACGGTTAATCCTGGACAGGTTAAGATTCTAATGATCGGGTAAGCACCCTCTTGTCGTCGGTTGCACAAGTTCATGCAGCAGCACATGGGAAAAAAGCTTACATCTTATCAATGGAATACGAAGGGAATTATGGTGGTTCATAATAATGTGCCTGACATGACAGTTCTAACCTTCATGGATAATCTGAAGATTAGAACTGGTGGAACTAAGGAATGTAGTTCAACTGAACATTTTCAATAAAAATAACGATAGATAACGGGAGAGACCTGTGACGTTTCGTCGGTGAGTAGGGTGTAAAATAATTCATCACACACAAGGACCCTAAGACTGTCGAGACTGAGAAGTGAAGACTGTGCAGTCCCTGCTCATATATGGCAACAGTACTCCTGATCTGGCTCTTGTAATGGTAGAGGATAGTAAGAGGAGTCAGGTATTTACTGGAGCGGTACAAGTAACTATATGTCCTGCATCTTTCCTGCGTGTTTTATTTCCGAAAATGCTATAAAAATTCGCTCTAGTAAGTTATGTTCGGTACAAACATCAAATCCAAAAAATCAAAATAGGAAGTTTTCAAATAAGTTTGGGAAAAATTTGTCTTCAAATTCAGTATTCAAAATTCCATTACTAACTGATTTTTATTAATTGTTGATTATCCCTTATCAAAACAAATCCGATGACACGTTTGGTAGGAAGCTTTTCAAGTAATGAAAGCCTGGTTTCCCTGAAAACATGTATTTTCAATTATTCTCCTGTCAACTTTACGCTTCAATATGAAATTGCACGCCTATCTCAGCAGCCAGTGTTTTAATTGTGTGCAAATTTGCCAAGGTTTTCTGATGTATTCAGTTTTAAATTTTCCAAAACAAAGACGGTCGTAACTTTTGCACAGTTAATAATTATGCTCGATAATGATAAGAAATTCTTTTAATTTCATATCAATTGACGCGGAATTTTAGATGTATATTTAACTTTATATTGAATCTTATGCATAATATACACCCAATTTTTCAAGTAATCAATATATATATATATATATATATATATATATATATATATATATATATATATATATATATATATGAAAGTGACAGTCTGTTTCATGCTAGATGTAATAGTCAGGCCTGACGATTGCATCTGGCATGAAAACAGACTGTCGCCTCCAAATGTTGACTTCTATGTTCACTTTTATATTTACACACGCTCTATCTCTCATATTGAGCACTTTGTCCCATAAATATAGCACATCTTAAGACTATATATATATATATATATATATATATATATATATATATATATATATATATATATATATGTATTTATGTATATATAAGAAAAGAGAAAGAGAGATAGAGTCTATATCGAGGTTCATAATACTGATGAATTAGATTTTCCTCGTCGAAATAAGCTTATTCTCCATATGGGTTGATTTTGTATTTTATTTTGTATTAAGTTTGCTCCTTAATAATAAATACATTGACCTCTGTTTGTGGATCAGTTTTAATATTTTATATTTTAAAATCACTACAAAAATAGCCATTATGTTTCAACACTTCTGGTGTATTATCAAGTGATGGTGTTGAATGTAGAATAAAGGGTTTTAAAACGTTCAAGTCAATCAAATATCCCTCGCTAGGGGAAACGCTATTACTTAAGCTGAAATGACAAATCAGAATACAAGTAGATGAGAATTCATAAAACTTGACGACGGACTTATATTAATAATTTAATGCTTTAATATTAGGCATAAATTGAGACCGAATTCATTCTAACTAATAAGTATTAAATTATACTATAAAATTCAAAATTCAAAATTACCAATTTTAAATTTTAAATTTAATCTTACTTGTATTCTGATTGGTCATTCCAGCTTGTGTAATAGCGTTTTCCCTAGCGAGGGATGTTTGATTCTTTAAATAATTTTATAATTTTAAACTTAATATAGTATAATTGATGATTGATTTGAACCTTTTAAAACACTTTATTCTATATTCAGCACCATCACTTGATAATTCACCAGAAGATTTGAAACAAAATGGCTATTTTTGTGGTGATTTTATAACATATTTATGTTATAATTTTCGAATAAATATTTCTATTTGGTCTACTCTGTATTCAGCACTCTTTTAAGAATCCTATACTTGGGTATATATATATATATATATATATATATATATATATATATATATATATATATATATATATATATATATATAAGAAATAACAGTAAGATATATAATCCGGTGTTCTTGTTATTTTTTTATTTTTACAAAACAGTGCACAATTTAAATTTACAGAGCATAAATGTTTCAAAAATGGAAGCTAAATATTTTAAATTTAATTATATAATTAAATTAAAACCATTAGTTCCTTTTCATCTTCAAGCGAATATTGGAATAACTTAAAATTTACTGAGTTTTAAACACACATAAATTCATAATTTACTGTTTCTAAGGATACATAGGAATCCAATCATTCAGACAGGGGCTGTGGCGTGTTCATTTTTATTAACTATTATTTTATCAATTTCAATTATGAGTTGCGTTCGAAAAAGAGGTTAAGTTTAGGGAGGGGAGGGGTTTATTTTTCAAGGAATTCTGACATCCTTTAAATGCATGCCGTCTGGGTTTTTGTTTATTAACGGCAAAATGTTTTCGGCATTTTTTCCTCTATACTCAAAGATTTTTGATGCGTGTTTGCGTTAGAACACGTTTTATTAAACTACAATTTTAAAATATTTTTACTCTTAATTATAATAGACTATATTTCTTTTTAAAACAAGTAAATGTAATAGAATTACTTACATTATTTAAAATTATTTTTTTTTGATCAAATATAAGTATGTATATTACCAGCTCCCATTTTTTTAATATTATTTTAAAATTTATTTTTAAATATTATTTAAGGGACATTTTTGACAATGACAGCAAAAAATAGCTATTTCATTTTTCTGATTCAGTAAATTTTTATTTTTCATAAACTTAGTAATATATAGTTTCTCATGTATGCACACACACACACACACACACACACACATATGTATATATATATATATATATAATGAGGGTGGCTGAGTCAGAGAGAGAGAGAGAGAGAGAGAGAGAGAGAGAGAGAGAGAGAGAGAGAAACGCTTTTGTTGGCTCCATAAAATACCAGGATGCAATGGAGCTATAGGACTATATTGAGCTAAAGTGACTTCATACGTAACATTTGAATAGAACTATACTGTACCAGAAAAGCATGTCTTAAATAAGTATGATAATTATTATCATTTTGTACGCAAATGAAATATTTTATTATTTCCAGACGTACAATCCTGCACTATGTCACCTTTTCTTTTACTTTTGCTCTCATATATTATTAGTGCTACTCTTCACGCTTACAATTCAAATCAAGTACCTTCAACCATCAGACCTGAATATGTTCAATTTCGTTTCATAACTCTATATCACTTTCGATAACATTCCCAAATTTCAGTTCTTATGTTCTTTGCTATAATTTCAAGAAACGTGTGGCATTTTGCGGCCAAAATATTCCATATCCCGAATTTATTTCGGGGCATTTTTATCGAAGTCATATTTATATTCAAATCTATTTTTAACTTACGCACTGTCATTTTTACTGTTACCTATTGTAAGATCTTGTCTACTACACCGATAATACAGAGTTATTGATAATGAGCCAGTCGAAAAATATTTGAGGAAATTTTATTCGGTCATTTTATTCAATATTTTGATACCCCGGGTGCAGTTTATCCAAAAATGGGACAAATACAATTAAAATTAAATAGACAAACAATGTTTAATACAATTAGATATCCAAATATATATATATATATATATATATATATATATATATATATATATATATATATAGATAGAGAGAGAGAGAGAGAGAGAGAGAGATAATTTTAGTGGCAAATATACACATACATATGCAAAATATATAAATATATATACATAGGTGCGTACACATACATATATATTTTTTGAATAAAAAATTCCAAGAGGATAGAATCTAGGGAGAGCTCAATGTTCAAGACAGATTAAGGATATAATAAAAAGGCTTAAACACTAATATTCCATGGTCATAATTTATTCCATTGGAATCGTAAATACGATCCAATTCATCAGACCTACAATTGAATTTGTAGGTCTGATGAATTGGATCGTATTTACGATTCCAATGGAATAAATTATGACCATGGAATATTAGTGTTTAAGCCTTTTTTAGCATTTATATATATATATATATATATATATATATATATATATATATATTGAGGTAGGCGTCATTAAATAATATGGACAAGTTTTTGTTCGTTTATTTTAAGCAAATTCCTTTCATATCGTCTGGTAAGCTTAATAATATTATCATTGAAAGACGAAAGAAAATCACCATATCGATACATATTTTTTAATCCTATCTAAGCTTTCAGCTTACATAAGCCATCATCAGAGATGACAAGTACATTACAATAAATTAAACAATACACGGACATAGCAACAATGATAGTCTGTTTTATTTGCATGGAAGATTTCCAAGCAACGACAAAATCGGGCATACGAAATCGCACTGCGGCCCATGACATCACACATTACCAAGCAATAGTGCAAACGAGAAGTATTATGTATGGGAAGCCGTTGTTATAAACCAATGGCTTCTGTCATCAGTTGTAGGCATTTAAGAATATTTGTGGAGTTTTCATAGTTTGTTTTGTTCAGGTTAAGTTTCAACTGTTTTATGTATAAAGCTTCAAGAATTTGTAGTTTTTGTTTATTGTTTTCATGTTTAAGTATATTTGTGTTTTCAACAAGGATTTTTTGGAACTGTATGCGACCAGGCATGTTGTTTTAAATGCCTAAAAATGTTAGAATTATCATTCAAATGTAGAGTCAAGAGTCGTAAAAGCGAGTTTGTAGTGTGACCAACATGAATATTATTTAATCCGTTGGAGATGCAATCTCCCAGAGGGCACTTAAATTTGTAAACTATGTTAGTTTTTTGCAAATCGCTAACGAGGGGGTTAGAGAATCATTGCGAATAATTGAGTTGGATATACTAAATTTAGTGTAGTATGTGATTAACTCTAGATTAACGCTAGGATCTGTTGTAGATATATTAGTATTTACCAATATCTTAGTATATTTTCATCCTGTTTATAATTAGTATGCATTTGATTACGATATAGAAGATTAATATGTTTGGGATTAGTTGAAGCAGTATTATGTTCTATTTGTTTAGTATTAAGACTTCTAAGAAAGTATTTTATTTGTACATCAACTATATAGTTTGGAAAGCTATTATTAATAAGTGTTTGTTTAATATACTTTAGTTCACTGTAAAAAATCTGTTTTGTGGATGAATTAGTTTCTGCACGATGTATTAGATTTTTTATAATTGCTATTTTGTAATAATATAAACATTCGCTTTTGTAGTTAAGTGTACACGAATTTATACTGGTAGGTTTTTTATATGGCGAAATAGTAAATTTGTTATTATTTGCTTTTATCAATATGTCAAAGAAGGGAATTTTATTATTAGTATTGAGTTAATATGTGAATTTAAGGAAAAAAATATTTTTGAAAGAAAGAAGTATTTTATCTGTACTTTTTAGGATATCTTCAACATATCTTAGGTAGATGGATGTTTTTTTAAAATCTGTAAATTGCTATTTTCGAGGTACGACATGTAGAAATTGCAAAATGTCGGATCGAGTACTGAACGAATGGAGACACCATCACATTGTATATATTATTATTATTATTATTATTATTATTATTATTGTTATTATTATTATCTAAAAAATGGACTTCAGTAGTACAAACTAATAGTAGTTTCTGTAATATATTAAAATTAATTTTAAGTGGAGGTAAAGATGAGTTACTGCATATATTTCTTATAATTATGTCAATAGTTTCGATAACAGGGACATTGGAAAATAAGTTTTCAGCATCAAGTGAAGCCATTATTTCATTTTTGGGTTTTTCACTTTTTAGGATTTGGATTACTTCTAATGTTGACTTAAACTATATTTACTAGGAAGACACTGATCCCAGTACAAAGTGGCGAAAGTTTGTTTCGTCCTTCAAAATTATCTTTCAGCCATCTGTGTTGTGTTTTTATCTCAGCGATTTATATATGCTGGTCAATGGTGCAATTTATCTCTGTCTCTGTCTCTCTCTCTCTCTCTCTCTCTCTCTCTCTCTCTATATATATATATATATATATATATATATATATATATATATATATAACAGTGGAAAAGTTATTTCTACGTGTCACGTATAATTCTCACATTACCCCCCAACACACACATACACACACACACACACACACACACACACATATATATATATATATATATATATATATATATATATATATATATATATATATATACATATGTATGTATAATGCAAATGTCCTGCTATTTTCCAACTGAAATTTTTCCAGTGTACCATTTTAGTATACCCCCTTAGAAATTACTTACTCTTGTATATATATATATATATATATATATATATATATATATATGTGTGTGTGTGTGTGTGTGTGTGTGTGCGTGTGTTAAAATTCTCACTCCTCACCTCGGTCTTTTTATATATTGATAATTTAACGTTTTCTCTTTATCTATATTTCCTTCTTATTTTCGATCTCTTTTCTTTATTTGTTATGTACTTGCGCCGACCCACCCTTTCTTTCTCTTTTCTTTGTTTTCACAATCAGTCGATTTAAAACAGCGCCAATTCCATGAACGTAAATATCCGCCACAATTTTCTCGCTTTTGACTTATGCTTTCATTCAAAATCTTCCTTCCTTTTACTTGACCATATTTCTATGTGCAGTTTTCCAAATTTCCTATCATCACATGATTGATTCAGTTGGAGAAGTACGTTGTTCAACTTTAGTTTTCCCTTTTCCCATCTTCTTTTCCGTTTTCCTTCGCTCTTTTAACTCCATTTTCGATTCCATTTATACTTCGAAACAATCAGCAAGTCTAGTAACGTCGTCTTTGCAATAAAATATTGATAAGAAGGGCTCAGCTGCGATGAACTGGCACCATGGAATGTTCATAATCTGTAAATGACATGTAAAAGATGGGAGTGGGAGGGTGAAACTAAGAGGCGCTTTTGAATGAAAGAAAGAAAGAGAGAAAGAAAGAAAGATCGAAAGAAAAATAATAGAAAACCTAATACAAAAGAATGGATAAAGAAAGAAAGAATATACAAATTAGAAGAAAAGAAAAATGGAAAATATGAAAGTAGTAGAAATTAAAGACAGAAAGAAATCAAGAAAATATAAAAAGTAGAAGAAAAGAAAAAAGAAGGACGATAGAAAAAGTAATAAAAACGTGTCAATAGATGAAGAAAGAAAGAAAAACAGTAGAAAAATAATTACAAAAGAAAGAAACAAAATAAAAGAATATGCAACAATATAAAATCAATGCCGAGATAAAAATGAAAGCAAGCAAGAGAGAAAAACAACAAAAAATTGGAACGAATGAATTGATAGAAAAAGAAAGAAAGAAAATATAAAACGTATTACAAATGAATGAATAGATAAATAACGAACGAAAGATTAAAACAATAGAAAAATGGATACAAATGAAAGGCTAGAAAATGAAAGAAAGAAAAGAAATATAAAAAGTAGTACAAAAGAAAGAAAGAAAGAAAGAAAGAAAGAAAGAAAGAAAGAAAGAAAGAATAGATCAATAGAAAAATGGGTACAAATGAATTGTCGGAGAAAGAAACAAAGAAAGAAACACTATAAAATAAGTACAAATGAGTGGATAGAGAAAGAAATAATATAAAAAGTATTAACAAAAGTGGGTACATAGAGATTGAAAGAAAGAAAGAAAAACAAGAACATGAGTAAAAATACAGAAAGAAAGAAATAGAATATAAAAGTAGTTCAAAAGAATGAAGAGACGAAGAAAGAATCTAAATTAATAATAAAAGAAAAAACTTGTAGAAAAGAATGGAAAAGGAAAACGAATATGACGAAAAGGTAATGCAAGTAGAAAACAGGGATATGGACAGGGACATGATGAAATAAAAGAAATTAAAAAAGAACGAGAAAGAAGAAGAAAAAGAAAGCGAATAGCAAAATCAAGTGAATCTTAAACCGGAAGTCCTACTTTTGGTCGTTGGCGCCTAATGAACGCACATAGCTGGCAAATGGACACAACACGCGGCATTTGTGATCATTGCTGTTCATTTGGATGGCGTTGGCTAACGAGTCGAAAGGAAGCGGAAATGACAAACACTGAAAGGTGTTCGGGCGGATGAGTTAATTGGGAATTAGAAAGCAATTGGTGATTGTATGCCCATAAGAGTTTATTTGCGTGTACCTCTTTTCATGGAAGTAATTTGTACTAATGGTTAACAATGCATAAAATGGAATCGGCAAGAGGAGTTCAAATTCCGGCCGAGAGTCAGTGCTCACTTTTCGAAAAGTGGTTATATAATAAAACAGACTGAATTTAAGTAGCTTTGAGTGACAAGCAATTTATGGGGACAGTTCTGAAGTTAATCTCCATTTTTCCAAGAACAATCAAGAATTTGTCATACAGTTTACAGAGGTTGTAAAAGCCCATGATCGTCTGCAAAGGTTGTAGAAGGCTGTGATAATTTTTGATCGTTGTATAAGAAAGCCATGATCGCCTGCTAAGACTGAAAATGTCCGTGATCGCTTGCCAAAGTTGTATTAGGCCGGGTTCAACTCTGAAGGCTGTAGGAAGCAGTAATCCCATATGAAAGGCTGTAGAAGGTTGTGGTCGTCTGCAAAGGTTGTAGAAGGGCCTGATCGCGAATGAAGGCTATAGAATTCTGTGGTCGCATATGAAAGCTGTCGAAGTTCGCGATCGGCTGCAATCGCCTGTATCGGTTATAGAAGGCCATGGTCAACTATGAAGGTTGTAGGAGGTCGTGCTCGCGTATGAATGTTTTTTGAAGGCTGTGATCGCGTATGAAGGTTGTAGAAGGCTGTGATCGCCTGCGAGGTTTGTTACAGACCGTGATCACCTCTGGAGATTGTAGAAGGCTGCGATTGTGTTTGAAGGCTGTAGAAAGCCATGATAACAGACAAAGTTGTAGAGGTCCGCTATCTATTGCATAGGTTATTAAAGGTTATGATCTCCTGGGTAAGATAGAAGCCCGCAAATGTCGTAGAGGGCACTGTTAGACTGCGAAGCCTGTAGAAATCCATGATCTCTTGAGAAGGTTATAGAAGGCCCGGATCACCTGCGTCCTTGTAAAAATCCATGATAATCTGCAAAGGTTTTAGAAGGTCGTGATCATCTGTGATGGTTGCAGAAAGCCGTGATCACCTGCTAAGGCTGTAGAAGTCCGTGATCGCCTGCCAAATTTGTAGAATGGCGTTTTCAATTATGAAGATTGTAGTAGGTAGTAATCGAAGGTTGTGATTGTCAGAGGCAGGCATTTTACATACTTCCGACACTAGATCATATATATGTAATCAACGGATTCGTGTATATATTTCTGTGCATCTAACTGCATTTTGTGTCGTTGTAGTAGTCTTGTGCGTGTGCATTTAAGCTGGTTGAAAAATGGCTAGAAATCTGTTTTCATAGACTGTCTTTCAGAATAAGTTATGCAAATTTATACATAATAAAGAAAAGCATTCTGAGACGAACCATGATAACCTATGTCCTGAAGGAGCATTGTGTTTTAAAGAATGGGATTAATGAATAGCGGCTCGGATTGAAGAATCGGAGAGACGAGTTCGAATTTCAGTCGAATCCATTTAGATTCACATACGCACTAATACCCTTGGAAAAGGTATGAATACTCGTCTTCTCCGCTCGGCAGAACAGACTTACTGCACTGGTTTACCGTGGGAAAAAATCTGCCTCGTCAGTCATGTATCGAAAGATACATGATCACCTCGTCAGTCATGTATCGAAAAATACGTGATCACCTAATCGTTTATCACGCACGGCACATAACTGACTGAGGGAAGAAAGCGGATAGGGTTTAAGGGTCCAAGTTAGAGACTGGATTGTATCATAGCACAGTAGCCTAGTGGATTAAAACATTAATCTGTGAATTTTCTTACATAGTATTTGTGAGTTCAATCGAGGCTGGGCATTCTCTGTAGATACAGGGTGAATAATAGCAGCAATACTAAGAAGGAACTGAACGATATATCCCTTAACAACGGAAAGAGAACACTATTGTCCCGTAGATTAAAATAAACGACTCGGTTCGAAATTCCCTGAAGGTTACTCGGATCAACAAGTACCTAAAAGCTGGGGGCCACAACAACCGAAACGTTGTGAGAATAACAACAAATATTTGGTCAATTGTCAGAGTGTAAATAATGGAGATCAAGTGACAGTAAATCTCATCAGTACTACAGAACTCATTGATTATTCCTGCTGATTCTTCAATAGCCTCGTCAGATCATGACTTTCATAGGGATGTTATAGCGCCAAACACGTTAAAAAATATCTAAACTGTCAGCTGTATGCAACCGCTTTCTAAGAGCAATGGCTACAAAAAGGCTTTGAGCAAGGGAAACCTGAGGGTGCTGTCAAATAGACTCCTTCTTTGAACATTTTGAACTGGATCTACAGAGTCATAAACAAAGAATTGTACCAAATAATAAAACCACATCACTCGAAAACAACCAACAACAGCTACAACTAAAATGGATAACACAATGTAGCCCGAAGAGAAAATAACGATAAAACCAAGATGTCAACATTGGATGCTATTTCAAACAAAATGTTAGGAAGGAAAACTCTATCAGTACTGGAAAGAGCGATAACATCTATGGAACTTGAGAAACCTATTTCCCTGAAAGATTGTTTTAAGAGGAAGATTTTATAAAATTCAACCGACAGCTGTGTGCTCAGTTAATGGCTGCCAAATGTTTCCTTTTAGTGAAACAGCTAATATTACAATATCTGTCTATCTATCGATCGATCGATCGATCTTTCTGCTTCATTCGATTATCTGATGCAACCGTCGCATATATTAGCTGATATCATTTTGTCTTTAGTTACGACAATCAGATCTGGTCTTTTGATCTGGATTGTGATTCTTATTAAATTTCAACGTCTCATAGAATTTTAGTCTTTCTATATTCATGGGCAGCTTCTAGCTTGTTTTTACAACAATCAAATTCTAGTTGTTTATACAATTTCCAGTGGATCAGCGTTCATACCAAGTCATGTCTTCTTTTGTATTCCTCCTAAAGTACTTTGCTGTATGTAATTTATATTTTTATTTCGTTTTTCTTTCTCGTTGTACTTTTTTTTTTTTTTTCTTTTAAGAATGTTAAGGTTTCCGTTAGTTCTTCTCTTCTTTTGATTATCACATCTCTTTTCCTTTTAACCTTAAGAAAATTTCAGTTTGTTTCCAGAAATACAAGCAAGTTGGCAATAACAAAAACACTATCTTTTGAATTTATCACGCTTTATTTTCAGCACTAACATTATTGAAGCCTTTCATTTGAATTTGATTAGTTATTCCACAATTAGTTATTGTGAAAAGAAATGTTCAAGTAACCCCCGACATCTTTGTTATTAAATGTATTCAGAAGTAATTGTTGTTGTCACGGTCTCCAGTGTATAATGTGCGTGTGTGTTTTGGGATTCGATTCATCCAAATTGTATAATTCCCTCTTTTTAGTCGTCCAGAGTTTTTCATATACTTTATCAATACAGCATCATCTGAATAATAATAATAATAATAATAATAATAATAATAAGAAGAAGAAGAAGAAGAAGAAGAAGAATTCTATTGGTTCAGTTAATATTGGAGTGATAAAATTCATACATTGACAAATTCAGAATAAAACTTCGTATCCTATCGCTTCATAGGTCTTCGTTGCTTGGCACTGCAAATATTTTGCGAAAGGACTCACGACTTGATGGACAACACACTCAATGTCACATCTCCGATTGAAAATGAAAACGAAAATAAGAGTTGTTATCATTATCATTATCATTTGTGTATGTTATGTTTCCTGCTTTGTATCCTGTAGAGCCGGGTCCAAACTATGGTCTTTAGGAGAATTGTCATTTAATTGATAGCACTTTTCTTAGTATATGGGATGTTTCTAGTAGGGCGATCTTCTGGGCAACTTGTATGTTGATGTTACCTGGGACACTGTTACTAAAATTTTCCATTTGTTTTCTTCCGAAGCCCAGAGCTCCAATTTCTACTGGTACAATCTCAGCCTTCATTTACCACATCCTGTTAATCTCGATTTCCAGGTCTTCGTATTTGGACAATTTCTCGGTAGTTTTCATGGAGTCGTTTCTCTCAGATGGTGCTGCTATGTCAATAAGCATACACGTCTGAAATTTCTTGTCTTTTATGATAATATTAGGTCTGTTGGCTGTCAGGTCAGTTTGAATTAGTATGTTCCAAGGGATAGTTACATCGTTATTTTGGATAGCCGTGTCTGGTTGGTGCTCAGTTGTTTCGATTTTGTAATTCTTGCATATTTTCCAATACACATATATCGCTACCTTGTTATGCCTGAGGGTATATTCATTTTCTGCCATTTTCTGAGATAATATGGTCGATAGTTTAATCATATTTTCCGGAGATCCTGCATTTCGGGTTCCATCTTTGATTATGTGACAGTGATAGGATCTGGTTACGAGGTTCTGGTTTTTAGCTGCCTTATAATTAGGCTTTCTGTCTCAGGTTTCAACCGGATGCTCCTCAGCCACTGATGTGTTTTCGGTTGGTTCACATTTGCTTCTTTCGTTCTTTTTAGGCATTTCCCATGCAAAGCCTTGTCCTTCCGATTTTCTTTTGTAATTTCATTTGACCAAACTGTTTTGCTTTCTGTTTTACTCGTTTGGCATACATGGTGTTTGCTTCTATTTTGTTGGTAGGCTTTCAGTTATATTAAGCTCCTTCTTGACGAGGGCACCTTCTTTGTAGGAGAGTGTCATTAGTTTTTATGAGGTAGGCTTTTGTAGCTTTTAGAGTTAGTTCACGTTGGAGCAGAACTGTTCCTCCTAAACATCTTGGTACGTACAGCCTATCAACATCTGATTTCGGGTTGCAAATCCTCTTTTGGGTAAGCATTTTTCTGGTGTTGACTTCTGATCTTTTAATTTCATTCAACTTCCGTTTTAATAATATTGCAGCTGTATGTTATTACAAGTATAGCTAAGGTGTTAATAGCCTTCATTTTATTGGCACTATTTAG